AGAGCCTGTGCTTTAGCTAATATTACCCCATTTACACTTGTATTAAAGTGTGATCAGATCAGGATAACATATTTGGATTTGATGCAAAAATGCAGGCAAGACACATTAGAATGACGTGATACCAGAACACATTCAGGCTCACACTATGATCAGATGTCAGCCATTCAACGTGCCCACTTTTTGAAGGAAAAGAAAAAGAAAGTGGGAAGGTCACCCACATCCATCTCTTGATGATAATTCAAGCAGGAAGAGGTCAGGTCAGCATAAAAACAAGAGAGAGGCCAGATGGCAGCGTGGCTTCCCTTGACCCGGGATTCATCATGTTTGTTGACACGTCAGCCGTTCCTGCCTCACAGATTTGCATGTGGAGAGTCCATCAAACTGTGGGCACGATTCAGACAAAGAGGACACATTCACCAGATACCGTATCCACATACAGATCACATACAGATACCAGTGTAAATAAAAAAAAAAGAAGAGCCTATGATGAATGATCTTTCTCAGCATTGTGAGCAGCCACAATGTGATGGACCACAACAACAAGATCACACACCTTTCAATTTTAGTCATGACTTGCAACTGACTAATAACAGATTAAAGAACCAATACATGAATGCTCTAGAATATGCTACATATTAGCACCATGCTAAATGCTGCATTTTCATAGATAGTGACAAAAATTTCAGGGGATATAAATCATTTTGGACACAGAAAAGACCACAGAAATAGTTTAAAATGTACCATTAACATCTCTAACACAACGTCTTACTTACTTTTGTCACTTGTTTAAGTCATTTCCAGCCAAAATAAACCAAACAGTCGAACACAAATTCACTGCAGGTGAAAATCTGGTATTGGTAACGAATAACTCGTTATTACTGTAGATACAGTCATCCTCAAGTTTATTCAAACCCCTTCGATTAAACAAGGAAAAACACAGCTGTCACTGAAATAAGTTGAAATTGACAAAAGAAATAATAAATAAAAAATGAATGAAAATCATGACATTGCTTTTGAATTGTGGTTCAACAGATTTTTCTTTTTTTTTTAACTAACAAAAAACAAACAAAAAAAACATTAAGGGACCCGTAAACTAATGAACACCCCTTTGAGCCAATCACTGCAAGTTTTGTGTAACTCTCAATCAGACTTCTGCACCTGTTGACAGGTATTTTGATTTTGGCCCACATTAGCAAAGTGCCCTAATTTGTCTGGGACAGTTTTTTTTTTTTTTTTAATTATTCTTTCCAACCACAATTCAAAAACAACATCTTATTTCACTTAATTATAATTTAGCAAATTTGTATTTATTATTACTTTTTTCAGTTTCTACTTATTTGAGTGACTATTGTGAATTTTGCCTTTTCTTTAATGGACGACTGCAGTTTAAAAGTTAGCAAGTGTAAACGCCCCCTAGCGGCCACGTTGGATACACTGTGGTTAACGAGCTCTCAGGTGTGTCTGAGCTAACAGCGCTAACAGGCAAACAGTTCGCTGCTAAACGCCTCCCAGTAAAGAAAATGTACCACAAGAAAAGGATATGTTTGGACTCCAGCTGTTCAGAAATCGCCTGGAATCTTCCCTGAAGTCGCTGCATCGTTGTCTCCATCTAAAAAGAGACCAGAAACCCCCGTCAGAGAAAGTGCAGATGTTTCTCCGCCCAGCTGTTTCTCTCACCGGACGCGCAACAAACTTACCGCCTCCGTCATGTCGTTCGCGGCTCGACACTCCGTCTTTGACATCGTTTTCCTCAACAACACACGAAGCCTTCAGCTGAATGTAACCCGACGCTACACAACCAGACTGTGAGTATTTGTTTAGTTAAACTGCCCAGAGCTGAGTGTGTCTTCAGTCAGGTTCGCTGTGACTTCTGTAACTTTGCGGCACCAAGACCTCGCGGCGGAAACACCGACGGCCGCCCGGAGAGACTGTCCCTTCAAAATAAAAGTCTTTTTTGCAGAAAGCCGTGCTGCTTTTAATCTTAAATGACAGACTACAAACACATTTGAAACAATAATGAAATTAATGAATGAATTTAAAAATGCTTTATTTATCCCAGAAGGGAAATTCAATCTTGTAAAAGCTCACTTTTTTTTTTTTAAATCAATATAACATATATTTTATACAACAATAATAATAATCAGTCTATTGTCAGTCAGTCAGATTTGTTTTTTAAGGTGATGGCTTAGCGTGTCAACAAACGTGCCATTTAAGAAACTGTTTAAATAATGTATTGATTTTTATTTAATGAGCATTTATTCACATATAGTCCATCAATTACATATTTTCAAAGCTGTATTTACACCACTGTGTCACATTTTCATAATATGTGTCAGTCAAGATCTGACGACGTGTTAAGCTTTCACAATGAGCATTTTCTTGGAGTTCAAAACAAGCATTGACAAAAGGCTTTTACAGTAAAACTATTGTCATGTTGCTATAAAGCTTAAACATTTAAGTCTCAATCTACTGTTATTTGTATGTTTATATAGTCATAGGTGTAGATTTTGAGAGGGGTGCAACAGAAGCCAGTCACCCTATTTCAGGTGATGTTGCACTGCTTACATTCTTTCCTTTAAGGAGTGCAAGATCTGGAGTGGCCTGCTTAGCTCGCTGCCACAATGACCTGACTCTGGATAAACGGAAGAAAATGCACGTTGCCTCAGCCGTGGGGATAGTATTAAATGAGAAAATTTGATCTGCCAAAGAATAAATACTTGAAAGCAGCTCAGGGTGCCTGCATATTATTTCATTATATTCTGAATTATCATCTGTTGCCAGGATTGTGTGTTTTCCTACAAATGAAGACATTGCTACAATAATTTGATGCAGAATAAATTGGTGCATAAAGGTACACCAGAATCAATCAATCAATCAATCAATAATACTTTATTAATCCCTTACAGGGAAATTACATTCACAGTTACATCTGTCCAAGGGGAGACAGGAACTGTCGGGACTGCCAGCCAAGCCAGCGCCCTTTATCAATGCAAGAAATCAAGTAATTGAAATGTCCCGTCAGCCTTCAAACCTCTGTTATGAAGGCAATGATACGAAGCTTGTCTATCTAACGCAACATCCAAAAATAAAAATAAAAAACTGTTTCATTTGCTGCATGTGATGTTGTACGCTTTTATTATGAAGGTGCGTTTGTTGCCTTTCCGGTTTGTAGCTTTCTTGAAGTGGTGATCTGTGTTTGTATGCATGGGCTCACATGGGAAGAGCTTTTTTGTTAACTCTTTGTAAACAGGCTGATCCTGTCAGAGGGGCTGCTGTGAGCTGAGCAGGAATAAGTCCTCCACGCTGAGCCTTTGGTTTTACATAAGACATGATCCTGAATCACTGTCACACATGAGAGATGAGGAGCTGTCTGCTGTGAGGGTTACATAACTTTCATTAAGCCTTTATAAATCTTTATAATCTGTGCTTTTTGTCAGTGACAGTCTGCATCCACTCCTGCCGGATTTGATGAATTTCTGCTGAGCAGCATAATTACAGAAGCCTGCTAATGTGGATTGCAGCGCTCAGTTTACCTCGGAGGGTGCTGGTGTTACGTGCTGAGCAATAAGTCAACCGAAATAAACCAGGGTGCATGAAATATTGAAGATATAGCTCCGCAGTCAGGGGTGAAAACAGGCAGAGCAAGATGTGCCACTTTCTATTAGATTCTCTCTGTACTGGAAGTTACTCCTTAATACAACATTTATTTTCTGCAGTATGGTGAGATTTACCCAGTCAGGAAACCCCTGACATTACAAGGTGGGAAAAGCAGGAAGTTTGAAAATGCTACCCAAACTTGCATACTTTAATTTTCAAAAAAAAAAACAAAGGCTCAATCTGAGGATGTGCAAGTGCAGCCAGGAGAAAGCAAACATATTATCACACAGAGCAAGACAGACAGCAGTAAAATAGCACCAAAGTGGACCTGGAATACTTCCAAATGCAAGCAAAGACAGTTTTTGCTCTTTCTATTATAAGCCATTGTTAATGGAGGTTTCATATTTATGAAACTTCCAGCAACCTGAAAGCTCAGTTTTATTTTCAAAATGTCATCAGTCAAGTGTAGGAAACACTAACACATGTGTGCAGTAGGCCACCATGTGTAGTTTCCTGCATTAGATGTGTCATTTTAATTTCATTATTGATTTCTAAGCTACCCTGCCTTTGCCCTAAGTCGGCTGGGATAGGCTCCAGCCCCCCCACGACCCTAGTGAGGATTAAGCGGTGTATAGATAATGGATGGATGGATTTCCCAAAATACACCCCTGGTTCTTTTTAAGTGTCCAGGATGCCCTGACAGTGTGACCGTGATGAACCAACATTCATGTTACCCTGAAACTGAAGTAACCAAATGGAATTCAGCCATCAGTCATTATAGTATTTAAACCTGCGCTTCCCTTAAAATGCCTTTTGTACAGAACAAAATGGGAGAAAGGTGATGCAATAGTCCATGTGCAGTTAGTTCGCTGAGGAGGTGCTTGTAGATCAGCTGCTAACAAGAAAACAGCCAATTTTGAGCACATGTTCAGTGTTAGAAATATTTTTCAAATACAAAACCGGAAGCCAAAAAAAAAACATGAATGTACATCCTGTTATACCAAACTGTTTAAACTGTCAATCTCTGATGATATTATCTGTAATTTAATAAAAGAAGGAAAATCTGTAAAATAACAGTAAAATAAATGTTGAAACTGTGAAAAAGCATTTAATTGTTTTGCAGAGTGAGTAAACACTTACATCACTTTCAACCTATAGAAGCATTTCTGCTGCTGTGTGACGCTGCAGACAGTCACTAAAGTCAAAGGAAAGGATGTGACACCTATCACCACAATTAATAAATGACATTTAGATTCAGACATTGATCTAACAAGCTCTAAATCAGCCTGAGTCACACTGATAAATGAATTTTGACCTACATTTTAATATTATGAAACAGATATGATACCAAAGAAAGAAGCAAATTATATAAACACTTATTGTGATGTTCTAGCTCTGTGCCTCTATACCTCCGCTGGCTTAAGACACACAAACTGTGGCTTTTGAACACTCTGCAGTTTTTATTATGATCCCAGCTCTATGAAGAAATATGTGTTTAAAAGAGAAAAAAAAAAAAAACTTGAAACAGTGGAAACCGCTGTGTTGGCATTAAAGCAGCAACCTTATTGCATCTAATACATGCACGGGCTGAATGTACTGTTATGTACAACAATTTTCTGCACTTTTATTTAAATGGGTTTGGAGGAACAGAATAATAAGGGACTCTGCAATGCCTCATTTTCACACAGTTTTTCTTTATGTCCATAAATCTGTATAATATACAGACTGCGCCCCCTGGTGGTCAATGCAAGGAAATATATTTCATCATGGATTGATGGAAATTGCACAGCTGACATTGAAATGAGGCTAATTAAAAGCTATCAGTTTTGTTTTTTTGTTTTTTTAATGGAATATGTGCATGAAGCATTACTTCTACAAAAATGGCACAAGAGAGCATCCTCACCCACAACATCATGGTGTGGTACAGGAGCTGCTCTCAGGCTGACATGAAGGCTCTGGAGAGAGTCAGGAAGTCAGCACAGAGCATCACAGGAGCACAGCTGTCCTCTCTGTCAGACATCTATGACACCAGATGTCTGCGCAGGGCCACAAGCATCACCTTCGATGGTTCACACCCCGGGCACAGCCTGTTCTCACTGTTGCCCTCAGGACAGAGGTACAGATCCATCCAGGCCCAGCACATCCAGCCTCACCAACACGTTCTACCCAAGTGCAGTACGGGGACTGAACACACATTAGTTATATTAAACTATACTATATTATACTATAATTACTTGTAATTATTATATATTATATCATATCTTATATATTATTATTATTATATTGTATTTATTTATTTATTTATTTATTTATTTATTTATTAACTTATTTTCTCATATATCCACAGTGTTCTCACCTCATCAGTGCAATATATTTATTTATTTGCTTCGGATTGTACTGACTGTTACAGTATGTACAGTATGTGCATCCTCAGTATGTTACACAGCTATCATGTGCTTCTTTTGTCATGACAGATGTAAACGATTTGACTGTCAACACAGTCAAACACCAAAATAGACTGTGAGTTAACTATTTTTTCAACTTCCTGGCACACAGTTTGGTCTTTCTGCAATACAAAGTTCAAAAAAATATTTTTCAATGTATTTGTGGCAAATTAAAGACTGGGGGAAAAAAAGAAGAAGAAGGAGGCAATCACATTAGAGATCACTGAGGTTCTCATAGGAGTTAATGTTGTTACAGTTTATTCATATACGGAGCTGTCTGGAAAACAAAGCCACATGTTGGTTTTGAGTCCCAGAACTATGCAGGACTTTGCTCTAAATATTGCCAACATGAATGCACAGAATACGGTTTTCTGTAAATAACAAATACGGTGCATTTGGAGGCCATTTAACACAGAATATTGAGGGAAATAAATCCAATTTCTGCAGTGTTTTGGGCCAATCTGATGTCTTATCAATGACAAGAAGTGGAGAGGACAACGTTCATTCACTCCATTTTAACAGAACTATACTACTAGCCTCTACTGCTAGGCTACTTAACAATTAAACCAGCATAAAGCTAAATGCTAGAAGAAATAATTACGAACTAAAGACTCATGATAACATCACATTTTTGAGGGGGGGTTGTCTAAGAACTATAAAACTCTGTTTCCCTCTTGACTGATCCAAGCTAATGTTTTCCTGTTGCTATCTAATGCTAACTTCAAAGTTCGCTGTTGCTTTTGCAAGCTAAATGAACACACTGGTGTCAGTGGTGTGTAATAATGACTGCTGCAACAGGAAGTCATCACGACGATGTAAATACAATTCATCATTAAAACATTAGACAAACAGATGCAGGTGTACCTGATTTAAACGAGGAGATGAAATGAGAGGGTGCAGTGCTGTGTACCACCTCATCATCTCCCTCTCAGCTATAAATCTGTGACTATAAAACAATACTCAATTAATTCTAATTAGGCCGAATTTAAATCTATGTTCAACAGGATAAGTAGGTGCTTTTATAACCTGTTCCATTTGCTGTGAATGTGATATATGCTCAGGACATTGCAGACATTGAGTCTTGATTTCACCAACAGTTCCTAAAAACTAACTAGCTACAGACAGAACATGATATTCAATATTTTTTGGTCATTTATCATTTTAGGTCATCTTAGTGGTGCCACCAAACACATATTGAGAGATCTACTATTAGATGTGACAGTTGGCAGGCAGCAATTAAGGAGATGAGTCAAGAAATCTTAATCACTGAGCGTGTGTTCATGTGTCTGGGTGACGCACTTCTTGAACTTTTGAAGTAGAACATCATCCAAGAAGTCGACTCTGAGAGCACACAGTCTTTGACAAAGTTAATCGGCCGAAATGTCACAGAGAGAATTGCATCTGCTACGAGTGCAGGGGAGCTATGGGCTGAGATCGCAATTAAACAGCATGTCTCTCCCAAACTCAGAACTGACGCTATGGTTGAGCCAAAATGTTGAGTGATACAACTTTCTCTAAAAACAAGGATCACTAAGTTTATCACAAAACCATTTTCCAAAGCTGCTGTTGTCCCAGTGGCACCAATCATCAGATGTCCAAAAGACACCACTGTCCCGGTAGATGTGTCACTGCAACCAAACTACGTCACTGGAACATCAGTCTCCACATGTTACCCCTGCAAAGATGTGTTCTGTGTTTCCATATACACACTTTGTCCGGTGGTTGAATTGTTTTTTTATTAGGATGACAGAGGAGGAGTGCAAAAGTTTGGCAATGTAATGGGTTATCATCTTGACATCAAAGAAATATTGAAAAAGCCACCATGAGATGTGGCCGCATTCATCTCACAAGCAATGTTTGAAGCAATTAGGAGACGAATCAGACAAATGTCATCACTGAGGAGCACATGTTCATGTGTGTGGGCGACACACTTCTTTGAACTTTTAAAGAAGTCCTGGTCACTATCGAAGAGACAACTTCTGAGATGGAAATGGTCAAAGATGTCAGTGAGAAAATCAATGCTGGTGTCATTGCTGGGGAGAAAAGGGCCGAGCTTGCAATGGAAAAAGGATGTCACTCCCAGAGACAGACGTAGCAAAATAGTTGACTGCGTGACCACAATGTTGAAAGACATCATTCTAAACATGACAGTGATGTTTAAACCTGAAACCTCAAAAACGACTGACATTCGTCTTCAGTCTGAGCCAAAATTCAAAGGCAAAGTGTCTCTGAAAATGAGGATAAATAACTTTTTTACAACATTTTTTTTGAGCGTGCCACCTGTTGTAGTCCAAGTGGAACCAACACAACCATCCAAAGTCCCAGAGGACGCTGCTGGGCTGGTTCACATGGTTCTGGAGCAGGAAACAGGTCACCTCTGCAGAGGTCAGCACAGCTGGGCATCAGTCACCAGAGGTTACCCCTGAAGTAATCAGTGCTCCTGTGCAGCAGCTCACCTCTTCACCTTTGAAGGTGAAGCACTTGGAAGGAAAAGATGCTCCAGGCACAAGTTCAAAATTCAAACAGAATGCATCAAAGTTTTTGCATCATAAGAAAGCACACAGAACAGAACGGACAGAAAGAGCAGTTCAGAGAGAGACAATATCCCGATGTACCATGGGCATGATTCACTCTGTTATTCAAGCTTTTTTATTATTATTATTTTTACAGAGTTACATACAAGCAGTGGAGCAGTGGGGGTTTTGATGTGAGGTAACTCTGATAATGCCACCAGGGAAATTCTGAGAAAGCCACTGACAGTGCCCAGCTCTAAATTAATGCCATTAAGGAGATGAATCATACATTTATTCACTGAGGAGTGTGTGATTATGTGTCTGGGCGACACAGTTATTGTCCTGTTCATCGCTGAAGAGGTAGACTCAGAGAGATGCTTTCTTAGACAAGGTTAATTGTCAAAGATGTCAGCGAGACAGTCAACACTGCTGTGACTGCTGGGAAGCAAATGGCTGAAATAATATGTAAAATTTAAATATATTGTATTTTAATGTGTGAGTATGTATGGCTGCTACCATGGCAACATGTCTCTTGTAAAAGAGATTTTGGAACTTCCTGGTAAAGCTCAGGCTTAAAATCATATTAAATTAAACAATATACGACATTGGGCTTTTCTGTTATATTGACTTAAAATTAAAGTTTTTTTAAAGTTTAAAATGTATTTTAATCATTGTTTTGTATTGCATAGTTTAATGACAGATGGGGTTTTAAAAGTAAATATAATCAAGCTGTACAGGTAGCATAAAAAGTGATTAGCACTGAGATGTATTTTTGTGTTTTAAGAGGTAAATATTAGACCTATCATAAGGGATGGCTTCTATTTTGCGCATTAGCGTCCTATTGGTCAAACGATCTGACAGACAGCTGATTGAACCAATCAGAGTTGGTTTACGGAAGACAGCCAAAAGTAAAACGCTTTAGCTACTGAACGTTACCAGCAACCAGACAAAATAAAACTAAGTGTGAGCAGACACAGCAATACCAACAGCAGATTTACCTCTGGATTCCTTGTATTTCATACGAATATACACCTTAGTGCATAAACACATATATAAGTGAACTGAAACAATCTGACATCCCGTCCTGAGTTTTTGTTTAAATAGCACACACGCAGACAAAGCTTTTATTTTGAAGATAACAATCTGCTCTCTTTACCTGGCTTGACGTCGCCATTTTGTGTCAGTTTCTTCCTGAACTTTTCAAGCTTTTGCGACTTTTCATCGAAACTGAAAAATTGACAAACATGGGTGCGTGTTTGGCGCTGGGTTCCCTGGCCAGCTGTGTAAGTACACATTTCTCGGTCTTGTTGTGGGTGTATGAAAAGCAAAGACGTCGTTCTTTCAAAACAAAAAAAAAATCTAATTTCTTGATTAATTTCCGAACTGTGCGCGTTGTTTGGCTAGCCAAGACAAAACAACAGCGGCAGGATATCGTCAGTTTCACTTAAAACTAGGTACTAAAATGGGATATTTTTGCGTTTTCCTTTAGGTAGACATATGTCCATGTATCATTATACTTATTCTGAATACTAATTTATTGATTTCATGAAGTTGTGGCGTACATTTTTTAAACCGGGAAGTTGTGACAGATGACACGCCTCTGCTGCTGCCTTTAGGCTAACTCTGAATCAAGCTAAACCAATTTCCTAATCAATATGTAATCTATGAGGCTGTGCAGTTTAACATATGCGAGGGACAGTGAATTGCTAACTTTTTGAATAGAGTTTGGCGTGTGAGCAGGGACGTCCTATGGCTTTGTTTACAGTTCGTCTTCATTGTTATGGTATCCTGCTGGGCCCTGATAGATTTACACGGTGTTTCCCATAAAGGCTCTATTTCCGGATTTGACTTTGTGCAATACGCCATCACTGTTTCTGTTTCCCGTCATGTGATGTGAAAATTACAATATGTGAGGCTTCAAACACATGTGAAAGATGTCTGAAAACAAATATTTACAGGTTTGTGTAAATTATGGAAAAGTTAAAAGCCGACAAGTAAAGAAATTTCCATCTGTGTTAACCATAATGCATGACTTATTAAAAAGACAGATTTGAGGGGAAAAAAGAAGTTTCTTAGCACACACAAACAAAACTTGTCCCAATGGATTTGTCCATCAGTATATGTTATTTTAAGCGAGATGCACAACAGCAGTGAACACTGAGCAATGTTAAAATGTAATGAGTCAAAACACTAGAGGTAAATATGGTGAAAAACAAACAAAAAAAAGTTAACTAAGAAACTTCAGAGGTTGATTACATAGTTGAAGACAATAGTTTTTTGTAGTAGTAGACGTTCATATATATGAATAAAACTGGATAGTTTGGTCTTTGCAAGTGCCAGTGAAGTGGAGATTTATTGCTCAGAGTGTGTTGTTTTTTGTTTTTTTGTTTTTAATTCCGTACATTTTTATTGGAAGCCACTATTTTACATGTAAAGATTTTACCCAACAGATATCACCGTGGAACCTCGTCAGTTTGACGCTTACATTTGTCTATTTTCCAGTGGTTCAGCAATTCACAATTTTGTTTTTCATGAGGTTTCAGAAACAGAACTAATCTATAACAACTGATGCATGATGTCCACCACAGTGAACAGTTGCATTCTTACTTGTAGAAAAAAAATCATGACAAACTTCATATGGGTTAAATTGCAATCATACACTGCAGTCAGTCAGATAATATTTTTGTAATGATGTATTTATTGTCAAATTAAAGATTTAAACAGCTGACAGGCCCATTTCACCACCACCCACCTTTTTCTATTTATGATGCAGTATTTCAGGGTCACAAATATTAAGACAGTGGTCCCACAATACAGACAAGGCTTGGAGGATTGTTCCTTGTTGATTCGGAGTAATTATTGTGATTAATGTGGTTTCGGTTTTAATTTGAAGAACTGCCTAATGTAGTTGATGCGATACATTAAAGGGTTAAATATGGCTGACCTAAACCACCGTCAGTAAACACAGTTATTATTTAAAGTTAAATATAATTCGAGTAGAACTTATCTCCTTGTAAAGAACGTATGAAAAGGGATTTTAGATCTTAATGCCGATACTTCACATCTGCCGTGTCTGAGTGCTTCTTAGTCAGCTTTCATTAAGGAAAATTCCAAACATATTTACAGTAAGCTTCATTCAAAATACCGAATGCGGGAAGGATCCAAGACTCTAAATACTCTACAACGTCCAGTAAGGTCACTCGTTAAAGTGTGGCTTGAGGTTTGTTTTCATTTTGGCATTTTCTGTTCCCACATTATCTGTAACTCAACATTAAAGTAGGACATCCTTAATCATTTTTGATATTAATCGCCTTTGGTTTCAGCGCTGAAACAGTTTGTGACATCAAATGTTAGTCTAAGCACACGTGCCCTTATCTTGATATTGTAAAAAAATAAATAATAATAATTCTGATTTAATTTAATCAGCTCTCATTCCTTGACAGCTTTCTAAATTCACAGTATGCATTTTTTAAGTGCTATCAGGTTCCTTGTGATAATCGTTAGTAAACTTAAAGTCTGAATTTAATGTTTGTGTAGTTTTTGTCGTGACTGTTTTGGGATTGCAGTCTGTACTATTTGTTACCACGGCAGCATTGCATCGTCCCAGCTGAACCATGGAAACTGGAATCTTCTCGTCGCAGCTGCAGTGTTTACACCCTAGGCTTGTGTACGCTAGTGCATGGTCATATTTCGAGAAGGCTGGCTGATCTCAGCTACAGTCTCTGCCTCGGTGCTTCCCACACCTCTCAGCAGTCTGCATCTGAATCATGTGTGATTCTGTTTGCAGTGCTGAGTAAGGATCAGAGAAAGGGAGAGATTTGTTATGATGGCAGCTGTAATCACAGGCCTGAGTACTGCTGCTACTGGGAATTATCATTTGTCTCTGCTTTCCAGAAGTCTTGTAAAATACGGAGAAAGATGGTTTCCCTGACAGCAGACAGTGTTTGTTTAGTTCTTCTCTCCCAGCCAGTCTTTGCAAGACATGCATGCATTAGCCTGATTACCCCACACCCCAGAGCCCTGTTCCTGACTTTCATAAAATATCAGACTGTAATAATGATGCCCTGGTAATTCTCTTCCGTGTCCTTCTTAAAGGCGTCTTGTTTGTGCGGCTCGGCCTCCTGCCTCCTGTCATCATGCTGCCCTTCGACTTACAATTCCACCATTAGCCGGCTGGCCTTCTCCTTCCTGCTGCTTCTCGGGACTCTGGTGTCTGTCATTATGATTCTCCCGGGCATGGAGGAGCATCTTAAAAAGGTACATGGGATAAGACTAGATAAGATGCGACACTGACCACAGTTATTATTCTCATAAATTCAAGTGTGTTTATATTTTCTCAGTCAAGGAAAAATTGGAGATTTATTCTTCATTAGCTTTTATTTATACAGGTAAAAGAGTAGATACCCTCTCTTTCATGAGTGCCCTATAAACATGACAGTAAGCAAAAAAAAATAAAATGTTTCAGCTATTACTAAAATACAGAATAAATATAGAATAAAATACAAAGAATAGATATTTACACAGACATACACGCTCACATACAGACAGACAATCAAAATAAAACACTCTACACATACAGAATAAACAATCATAAGTTAGAGAAAGTGTACAAGTTAAAATTAAAGACACCAAGTACACTGATACTGCTCTATGTTGGACACAAGGGCTTTAAACCTGTCAAATGGGATTAGACTATCTAATCTCAACAGGTTTTGATTTTTTTTCCAATACTTGGGTGCATAATATTTCAAAGCTTGTTTCCCGATCTCAGTTTAAATGAGTGTGTTTTCCAAGACTATAAAATCTTGGGCCCTAGTTTGACGAGTAATTGATCTATAATTAAAAAGACAAGTAAGATATTCAGGTAATTTTCCTAACAATGCTTTGTAGATGAATAAAATGCAATGCTGTTCTCTTCTAACTGCCAATGATGGCCGCCTAACTTTCTGACAGAGTAAACAATGATGTATTGAAAATATTCATGAAGCTGTAGCCCAGCAACAGGGATACATTACAACAAGACCCAGAGGAATAGTTTTCTTTAAAAAATATTCAAATACTAAAAAGCTATCCAGTTGACTCGATTATAGTCTGGCCTGTCTTCCACCCATTATTTACTTTGTTTTTTTTTTCCTCACATGGTCAGATTCCAGGTTTTTGTATGGGTGGCTCAAGCATACCTGGAATAGAGAACAAGGTGAATTGTGACATCATCGTGGGCTACAAGTCTGTGTACCGCATGTGCTTCGCCATGGCCTGCTTCTTCTTCCTCTTCTCCATCATCATGATTCGAGTGCGCAGCAGCAAGGACCCCCGAGCTGCCATCCAGAATGGGTTTGTAGCAGCTTCAGTACCACAGCTCGGTATGGTGACAGCTGGCTGCCCTCTGGTGGCCAAATATGGACACTGCACCTCTAAGTTTACATTGAGGAAAGAACACGTTTGCTCTGCACATAGTTAATAGCTTTAATTTTTGTCTCATCAGTTTCTGGTTCTTCAAGTTTCTGATGCTGGTTGGCATAACTGTGGGAGCTTTCTTCATTCCAGATGGCATCTTTAATTCAGGTATGGAGCCTTTTCATTAGTGTGCTAGTTGAGTAAGGCCTATTTGTACAGTTAGGTGTTGGCTTTTAACCTCCTGAGTTTACCAACCCGTGCTTGCACCTTGAATCCTTACCTACTAACGCTGCACCTACATTTTGAAAGACTTTGCATGTTTTGCTTTAGAAGGCAAAATTTGTAAAACGATCCCTGAACTTGGGTGTCATTTGTCAAATAATTTTAAATGACTTCCAGCAATAATCTTAATTAGACTTCAAACGAGGGTACCTATGCCAGTTTTAAAGGTGCATGTGGTGGAGGCGGTCAGTGTGTTATATTATGTTTCTCTCTGTCCAGAAAGGTTTATGCTTTAGCCACAGGGAACACAAAATATACAGTATAAGGCTGTGACAAAACAACACTGAGCTTTGATAGTTGGGTTGTGTCTTCTGTTTTTGAACCCAGAATTGATCAAATTGGAACTGTGGCGGCGTATACTTTAGTGACAATCCACTGATTTATCATTTTGTATTGTAAACTGATGGGTCAGGCAAGTACACAAGCAGCCACCTTTTAATAACTCATCCTGAACCCTCCTCTGTCTGCTCTCAGTGTGGTATTACTTTGGCGTGGTGGGCTCTTTCGTCTTCATCATCATCCAGCTCATCCTCCTGGTGGACTTTGCCCACTCCTGGAACCAGGCGTGGCTGGAAAAGGCAGAGAATGGAAGTCCCAAGTGTTGGTTTGCAGGTAGAAAAGCAACACACACACTTTTTTGATAGAACTTTAAATGATTGTTCAAAATTCAGGGTTCAGCCAAATGTTTTTTTTAAAGGGCAATATTTGTGTTGTCTTGTAGAGTCTTTTTGTTTTCCAGTTTGCCAATTTCATAAAATTTATTTTTTTTTAAATCATGAAATAAAAGTCAATGTTTATATTTTGCTTATGGGGTTGGAACATTGCGTAGAATGAATTCAGACATGCCACAAAGTAAGCAGTAGCGATCAATTCCAGTAGACTTGTAATTCACCTAACTACATAAATTGCATGAAATTGTGAACAAGATTTCGCATAAAAGCCTGGGAATTTGATAAAGACACATCTATCTATCTATCTATCTATCTATCTATCTATCTATCTATCTATCTATCTATCTATCTATCTATCTATCTATCTATCTGTCTAATGCAACAGTGTTTAAATCAGGGTTTACATGATTTTTCTAATAATTTTGTTGTTTTTTTTTTTCCCCCAGCTCTTCTGTCCTTCACCTTCATCCATTACGCTTTGGCTTTCGCTGCTATCGTGCTCTTCTATATATTTTACACTCAACCTGATGACTGCGCACTGCACAAGGTCTTCATCAGCCTTAACTTCATTTTCTGCATCATTGTGTCCATCGTGGCCGTTCTGCCCAAAGTTCAGGTAAAGTACAGACTTTGAAAGACAAATGTCAAGCTCCTAAATATTTCTAGTGTGTGTCCTTACCCTTATCTGCATTACTTTGAAATGCGTTTTTTGTAAATCTGTATGTAAGCACACTATTTCCGATCGAGCCGCACGTTTTGATGTATAATTTGTGTGGGTGCTCTCAAATCTGTGGGAGGAGTAGAAATTTTGTACGGAAGAGTCAAAATAATAAGAAAAAGCGCACCAGGATAACAATAGTGGTCTCGTGCTCAGCCCGTGGCACTAATAGCTCGTTCTATATCGTGCCTTTCATTTCAAAAACCCTGCTCAGGTGTTTTGTGCTCTCCAATGCTGGAGTAAAGCACTCTTCGTTTTGTCCCCATGTTACTGTCACTGGTTGGTAAATAACGCTGTCATTTCATGTTATTCATGCAGAAAGAATAATGATGCCCAGCACTTTTGATGACTTTCTCTGGTGAAAACAATCAACTTCACTGGCTGCATATTGTGCATTGTATAAGATGTATACATAATAAATATAGATGCTGTATCTTTGTACTTCAGCAGACTGGAGACTCTACCCTAGAGAACTTAGTTTATGAAAAGTCACCTGGTTAATCAGGTGTAAAAGTCACACTGTGACTTTGTAGGGGATTCAGATTTGAGTTTAGGACAAAATGACTTTGGCTATGAAGAGAGTTTAATTTTCCTGGTGCCGTGATTTCTTTTGTGACTCATGACTTCCTCCATGTCTCCACAGGAGGCTCAGCCCAGCTCAGGTCTGCTCCAGGCCTCCCTCATCTCCCTTTATACCATGTATCTCACCTGGTCTGCTATGAGCAACAACCCGAGTAAGTCCAATGAGTCTGAGCTGGAGGCAGGATATGTAACTTGGGAAAGAGGCATAAAGAGAAAAAAAATGTTTTAACTTAATTAGATCTGCAAGTTTGTATGGTCCTAATAGCAACTTTTCCCTCCCTCTATTTACTGTTCACTCAGTTTTCTGTGTTTTATTTTTTTTGCCTCAGACCGCCAGTGTAACCCCAGTCTGTTGAGTTTGGTCCAGCCCAGCACTACAACTCTAGCACCAGGACCTGTTCTTCCTACCCCAGCCCCGGGAAATGTCCAGTGGTGGGATGCACAGAGCATCGTGGGATTGGTCATTTTCTTGTTCTGCACTCTTTATGCCAGGTATTTCACTGTTGTTGAAAGTGGTTTTCTTTTCCCAGAAGAAGCTTAAGAAGTATTAACATGCTGCTCTTATCAGTGTAGTCTAAAAAGACTGCAAAAAAAAAGGTTATTTTGAAATTATTTACATTTTTTATCAAATCGCCAGAACTCAAATTAAGATGTTAAGAGGAGGTTTGAGTAACAGCCAGTTTGGTTATCTTTAAAGGTCCCATGTTGTGCCTTTTTCAACACATTTATCGAAGTATCACATTTCCCCATAGTGTCTCTTTCATTTTTTGAGCTCACAATACTGCACCAATGGTTCGTTTCACCATGAGTATATAATCCCTGATTTTAGCTCTGTTCTAAACAGACTAAACATTGTCTGATGCTCAGAAAACCACTGACTTGCTGCTGTCCCTGCTCTTCTCCTTAAGAAACCTCTTCCTACATCTGTGATTAACAGTGCTGAGAAAAAACAGGTGAATGAGTGTGAGACCAGGACTCTTTGACTTTTCTCCCTGAGCTGCCATTTGACATAAAAATATTGCGAAGTTCCCTGAAGAGCTGTTGTTTTAACTCATGTGGATAATAAGTTTATCAGATGATGTTGCGGTGTAAAATTTGTACTTTTAGTGGGACAGTGAAGCAGCTTGGGAAACAGATGTAAACACCAGCTGAGTTTACATTGCACTGAAGCACAACAGGTGACATGAAAACACACAACCCACCAGTCCTTGTCAACTAGTTTCAGATCTGTCTTAAAGTTCCCGTCATCTCTGAATCAGCTTTACAATTTCCACCATGTTATGAACTGTGTGAGCACTGTCAAAGAAAATGGTAACGTTAATCACATTAGCAGCAAAGCGTGCTAACACTATGGATTTTTGATTGTTGTGGTGACATTGCCATCAAAAAAAACATAATCATAATGATCCTCAGTTACTGGGAGTGCATGGGGGACTCCTGTTTTCATTCTTAGCAAACAGCAGAACATTTGGTGTGCTCTGCTAGTAGCCGAGAGATTTCAGAGTTAGCAGAAACAGCTGTAGAAACTAGAAGAACCTGGTGAACTGCGAGGCAGCTGCTAATTCTGAAATGCTTACCCTGCAAGTACCAGGCAGTGAGGGGGCAGAATCATACAAAGCTTGAGCTCGATGACTATTGGTTGGTAGTTGTATGTAGCAATTAGGCCAAATTCTTACTTCCCTGTAAAACTGGGAGGTTATCTCGCTGTGACAAGGTTTGAGGAGTGGCGGAAGTAAATGTCTTTTAGTTTACACCTCCGAGTTTATAACAACCACAAAACACAATAAAACTGTTTTTCATTTTACGAGAAGTATCCAAATGACCCCACTGGACTTTTTTTTATGCATGTAGACTATTTTTATAAGCAGCCAGACTTGCCTCAGTAGGAGTGAAATCACTGGTATTCAGGTACGTAGAGCAACGTTTTTGGAAATAATTCCTGCCCAGAGAGACAGACAGGTACTCTGTTGTTCTTCGTGCTTACACTCAGGCAGTTACACTGCTGTACTTTAATACTTCAAACTAGCTTTAGAAAATCAAACTGAAAAATACCAGTGCTTATTGTGCATTTTAAAAATATCTGTTTCTGTTTCTGAGTGTTTGTTTTTTCATCTGGGATTTGCTTCTGCAGACTGGATTGTTGCATGATGGCCCCAAAAACACAAGGTTACATATATATGCAGTGCAGCTTTCAGTTAAGCAAACCGAGGGAAAAGTATAAAAGAAGCTCTGTATGAAATCAAAACATTCAGGATCAAACTGGGCACAAATTCTGATTGAGAAGGAATTATATGCATGAAAAATAGACATTTTGATCATGTTTACTTCCTTCTGTTTATTAACGAGCTCTTTCGCCTGCCACAGCATCCGCTCGTCTAACAACTCCCAAGTGAACAAGCTGATGCAGACCGAGGAAGGCCAGGGTCTGACCGCTGACTACGACGCCGCTACAGGGGAGGATGGAGTCCGACGGGCCGTGGACAACGAAGAGGAGGGAGTGACCTACAGCTACTCCTTCTTCCACTTCAGCCTCTTCCTGGCCTCTCTCTACATCATGATGACCCTCACCAACTGGTACAAGTAAGTATCTGTAGTTTGCTGTTCTTGGCTAACTCCTTCAGACAGGCTGACTTTTCTCTAACTCCGACTTCCCCCTCTGACTCACCAGGCCCGACACAGACTACGAGGCCATGCAGACCACCATGCCGGCTGTCTGGGTGAAGATCTGCTCCAGCTGGCTGGGCTTGGCCCTGTACCTCTGGACCCTCGTGGCCCCGCTGGTGCTCCCCGACAGAGACTTCAGCTAAGCACGGCGAAGTCTGTCGGCACGTGGCTGCCGGCCTGTTGGCATTTGCACCTTGAGTAAAGATAGCTGTAGTTTATAAAGCTTCTGCTTGAATGTTTACTACAACTCAGCAGTTAAAAACGGAAATTGTAATCTGCTTTATTATTTACCTCAGGTCACTGCTCACACTTTCTGCCATGTTGACGTTTTGTGGCTCAAGGTAAAATAATCTTTTGCAGACACAGAAGATTGTTAAAGTTTTAAACGCATTCCAGACTTTCACCTCAGGTCAGTTTTTTACTCTACAAATACTATAATTGAGAGCACTACAAGCCCTTTATAAGACCAAATGGATTAGAAATGATATCAGAAGGGAACTAATGTCTTTGTTTCACGAATTACACTGTGCTTGTACTGGTTTTTTGTCACTACCGTCAAATCACTTTGATTTCATGGGGCAATGTTTAAATCTCTAAAATCTACTTTTTCTAGTTCTGCATTTTTATGGCATAGTTTTGTGCTCAATTTTTATAAAGAAGAGTGCCTTATTATATTGTGCAGTCAATTAAATCTAAAGTTTTTGTGACAATCATTTTTCTGTAAGGTTGTTTTCTCGCTAAATGTTCTCTTTTCATTATAAACAATAAAGCTAACGTTCTGTTCGTCTCTAACCAGAGTGTGGACAATAGCTGTGTCCTGTAGGTGGTGCTGTTGTCCCTCAAATGGTAGCCTGTTTATGTAGGAGACCTGCTGGATCTCATTATGTACAATTGATTTAGACATATGTGGTGGAAGATTTCTAAACTGGTACGGTAATCTATTCTTTTTTTTACATATGCTACGCTGAGAACTGGCCCGTGTTTTCTTTTGAAGCTGCGAACGCAATGTCATCAACTCGGGGTCTGCAGGGATTTCCAAATGCTTCACTGCCCTCCCTCCATTAATCACATGAGTCTGCTGAAATGTGATTTATTGTGTTCCCTCTATGCAGGGTTCCCTGGTGCAAAACACACACATTTGGCAAATAATGTAGAGGGAATGTGCTTTTCCCCCCCTATCACAAGATCGCCATGAGCTGGGCGGGCAAACACAACACTTCATTGTGCTTCACTATGTTCATTCAAGATTTGAGTTGGGCAAGAACAACAAATGACTGGTCTATGTAGTCATACTTGGACATCGGGGGCAAATCCCAGACACCTTCAACACAACTGTATCCTTTTACCCCAGTCACAACATATTTTCTTACACGGGGACTTCCCGCTGCTGGTTTTTCATTCTCTTATTTGTACTTCTCATATTACAAACCTGCATCCAGAAGCTTAGATAAACCATAAGAGCTGACGTATCCCAAACCAACCTTTAGTCAATAATACACATTAATCCAAAATCCTACATTTCCAATAATCCATTTTCATTAAAACCTCGCTGCTTGGTAAGCACAGCTCTTTGACCCTCTAGTTTGTTGGGCACATAACATTTCTTATCTGCAAACAAAATATATTTTAAAATGGTCGATATTTTTACAGCCTGCAAAGCTGCAGCCATTTTTTTTTTTTTTTGGCAAAGAAAGATGACATTCCAGTTTCTTCAGGACTGTGCTCCACTGATTTACCAGTCCTATGTCACAGTATAATAGTATATCAGGTTTTTTTCTTCTTCTTCTCTGCACTGATCTTATTAAAGTGGGTAGAGCTTAGCAGGAAAAAAAAGTGACTTCACTAACACCATCCTTAAAAAAAACAGGTTGAGAGTTTCTGGGTGTTTGTGAAGTTGCTGCTTATTTAGTCAGAAAGCGAGTTCTTTACCATTATTTATACTATGCAGCCACATTTTGTGAGAAATTGTTTGTTCCTGAATAATATGACTTTAGTTTAGTCGAGTGTTATCCCCTTTAAAAGTAAAAAAATGTGTACAGCAGAGTAAACCTCTGTTCCCTCTAGGCTGATTCTGATTGTTGACTGACAGAACATCAAGCCAGCTAATTCAACACGCTGATTATGTCAGTAATCTGTCCTCGGTCCAGTTTGTCTGTGGAAATTCCACCTGCTTATGCATGATTTGGTAGCAAATCACATTAGATCCAGAGACACTGATACTCTTCCTGTACCTTTGCAACACACCAACCACCACTACGCACATATACGTACAGATGTGTACATTTTCCTGTGTAAAGCTGTGATTTGACCCATATTGTTGTGGGTGACAACAACAGTGGTAGTCCCCGGCCCAGCTGTGAGCAGCAGGCCAACCTAATGCTCTTATATAATGCTGAATGAGGCTCTGATCAGTTGCATAAGCCAGTTATAGGATCATGATTTCATTGGGGACTCTCCACTCGGCTCTGACTGTTTTCATTTGATATTCGCAGTGCTTCCCGCGGGGACCTTCGTCCTCGTCAACAACGACCGCACCCCTCTCCTCCTCGGAGGGTTCCCAGCACCTGGCAACCCAGGTGGAAAAACAAAGTGAGCCCTGCAACACATGAAGGCTTTTAAATAGGCCGACCCCAGTAGTCTTCATTAGGCGGCTGTTCGTCTCTTGCACGGGCCTGACTGTGGGGATGGAATAACGTCAGGATGCATTCTTGGAATATGATGATGTGGTGATTAGATGGCAGGAGGGGAAATTTCCCCTTTTAAAATTCCAATATTCAAATCAATAAAATGACATATGCATTAAATAATTGATGAGGGCAGGTCTTGGTAATGAGACATTGCATTAAAAATGAGATCATTCAGCTGAAAAAGTAGTTATTGTGATTCATCTCATGTGTTACCTTTAGTCTCATAAGCAGATAAACACTTTTTCACACTGAGAAAGACATTTTTTAATGTTAAAACAAAACAAAAAATTACCTAGAATGTTATAATAATGACACTGCATGTGTCGATGACTGTTTAAAGACAAAATGGGAAGGTCTGACTTTGTTGTTTTCTCGTGCTACTGGAAAGGGGGGCGGGTCTCGCGGTAGTACGCGTGGGTTTGAGGTGGCAGCGTTTGTCTCGTGCTCCTGCTAGTATTTAAGCTAACCGGGATAATATAGAAAGTCTGAATTTACCTGCATAGATAAACTGCGTATAAATTGGCCACTGTTACTAAAATAGCTGTTTTATTCCATTACAAAATTCCCAAAAAGCTATTTGATTATTTTTTTTAAACGATTTTCATGTATCCTAAGCACCTCGCCTACATTTGGATTTTTTTCTAATTTCATCACAAATACCCGTTAATGTATTTTACAGCTAAATGCTAATTAAGCTACGTCCACTCGCTTTTGTTTGTAAAGTTGTGGTCGGAGATGGGGTTTTTTTGGTTCTTTCTTCATTGACAGTGGTGATGCTGCGCGGTGGCAAACTGCAGCATCAACTTTCAGGAGGATTCACTCCGTCCCGCTGCCAAAAACGGCATCTGGACCGGACCACTCACGTTAGCAAGCCGGTAGCAACCAAGCTAGCTGTCCGTTACGGTGGCGCTGTGAAAGCAGGAAGCCACGGCATGTCCACAGGTCAGGCAGCCACAAATCAACAGCTGGATGTGTTACGATAAATTAGCATAATTACTGTTATCTGATGTGCTGTATGAGAAGGTGGGACTGGATGGGGTCAAGCTAGCTAAGAGGAAGTGTAGTGTTTCCGCTCGGATGTGTAGCGTTGCTTGGTAAAAGTTGAAGTTTTCACCCAAAACGGCTGAATTTGGTTGTAGCATAAACAAACATTGAAGCCATGTAAGTAGTAAAAGACGAGGATGGATTCATTTACGTCAAAATGTGACTCTCAGTGCTGTTTTTCCAACGCCGCAAGACTGAAGTTGTGCACTTTTCGCTTTTAATTTGAAGGTCGCATGTGGGTATTTCCTGTGTCGCCCCCTGTGAACGCGTGCTGACTTGATGCAGCTAGTGAAGCCGTGGCCGCACCGCAGAGAAGTGAAGTTGAGCATCCTGCAGGTAATGTAAGCTCATACGTGGTGTCAGCGAGGCGTTGTTGCAGATGTTAGCATGTATCGTGTTGCTTAGTTTAATTCTGATGTCCTACGTGGTGCAGCAGGGCGGGTGTTATTATTTAACGTGTTATTTTTCCTTGTCGCTCTTTCTTCTGAATGGTGAGACAAAATGTAGCTAACGCAAGGTGAATGGAGCTGAGAGGCAGAGCTGTGGTGTTTTCTGTAATGCTTTTCACTCGCATGTTTAGAGGGGTGTTTAGCTCCCCTTGAACTGGTCTTGGGCTTGTCCATTCCCCCCAAACTGGCTTCATTCATTGTCTGGGAGAGGGAGGAGGAGGTGGTGAGCTGCGGCAAGTCATCCACAGTTGGACGTAAAGACACAGGAAGCAGACTGATTTTAGGTTCAAAATAAACCTCTCCAGTTTTTTTTTTCTTGTGTGGTCAAACAGGTAAGAACATGAGTATGGAGAAGAGCTTGGGTTGTGGTAAAATTCTGGACTGGTATGGAAGGAAAGAGGTGCCATTATTTACCTCTGCTTGCAGGCAATTCAAATCAGAATCAGAATCAGCTTTAATGGCCAAGTATGTACACAACATACAAGGAATTTGGTTTCGGCTGTTGGTGTCGCCCTAGGAATTTGTACGAATAATAGAAATAGGAAAATTAAAAATTAAAATAAAATAAAGTAAAATAACTAAAGAAAGAAAAGAACAAAACACAATAAATATTAATAAAAAATAAGATAATGAGACAAATATATACAAGAATTTACACATCTAGTAGAAAAAGGTATATGTACATTAGTGCAAAATGGAAGTGCAAATAGCAGTTGTGGCTTGGAGTGGCTCAGCTCAAACACTTTTACAGCACCGAGAATGATAAAGCTCTGTTTATCAAAAAAACCAAAAACAGCCCAGTCCAAAGCTGGCATAACAATGATTTTCACACCGATCTCGTAAGACACTGTTTTTTGCACCATCAAAACGCTTTGAGCTACGCTGGTATTTACTGTGTTTTTCATTGAGGGTAAATTGTGTTTGTAAAAAAAGCAAGGAACAAGTTGAAATGGTTAACATGATTTTCAACCTCTGGACTGTACAGATCACTAGACAATCATCTGCAATTTAATTTTAATTTGGCACTTACTATAAAGATCAATAGTGATATTTTAAAAAATACAAAGTAAGGTGTTCATATTGATTTGTTAGTCTATAAATGGTGCAACCATCCTACAACAAGTAATGACAGGCAGTAAGCAGTTTATTGCATCACCCGATACAGCTGTATTTACACAACACACGTGATCATAAGGGCTGGACCCGAACATCCGAAAATTTGGTTGTTGTGTTGGTATCTGGATATCAATTTTGAGATCCGAATATTCGCCTGCCACCACCCGTCGTTGTGGTGGTATCTGGATATGTATTCACCCGCAACCTGCCACCACCACAGATGATGGAAACAGAACTCTGACCGCGAACCTAAACTGGCATCAGCCGCCAAATACTACCTGTGCTTTTCGGCCACTTCTACCCAGTCATCCAGGTATTCTTGATTGATTGGGCCGGAATATCCGCAACTGTTTGACTGTGTAAAATGGAGGTGATTTGTTAATGTATGGAAACACATAACAGGTGTTTGAAAGCAGCATTTTTGTACATCTCACTGGAGAGATAGAGAAAGTGGCATCATGTCAAGCTTTTGATGGCACACAAAGCAGCATTGTAA